ATCGATCAAGATAAATGATAAACGATTTTGTACAAATCTAAGAAAATATTATAGTCAATTCAGATTAACGATGTGATGTTATAAAAAAAAAACCTGCTGCCATATCACGTTGAATCACCGGTTTGCGTAAGATCAGTGAATTTAAGTGAGATCAGTACTTTGATCGGTGACCGCTTGGGAACACCATGTCAGTACCTTGATCGGTGAGAGCTTGGGAATACCAGTCAGTACCTTGATCGGTGACCGCTAAGGGAATACCCGGTCAGTACCTTGATCAGTGACCGCTTGGGAATACCAGGCCAGTACGTTGATCGGTCACCGTTTGGGAATACCAGGTCAGTACCTTGATCGCTGACCTCTTGAGAGTACCAGGTCATTACGTTGATTGGCGAGCGTTTGGGAATACCAGGTCAGTACATTGGTCGGTGACCGCTTGGGAATACCAGCTCAGTTCCTTGATCGGTGACCGCATGGGAATACCAGGTCAGTACATTGAACGGTGACCGCTTGAGACTACCAAGTCATTACGTTGATTGGTGACCGCTTGGGAATACCATGTCAGTACTTTGGTCGGTGACGGCTTGGGAATACCAGGTCAGTACCTTGATCGGTGACCGCTTGGGAATACCATGTCAGCTTGAATGTGCGGTTGGTTTAATGGATAACGGTTCGAAAATCGTTAATTAGAGAATCGAGTTTCAATTATCGTTGCGTTCGTTAGATTCCCTTACGCGCAATTGCTTTTGGGAAAAGATATGAATACACCTTTCCTCTTCCCATCGTTGGATTAATTCGTAAGACTTTTATCATTAATCCATGTTTATTTCGTCAAAACATTCTTACAATATAAAATATTTCCTGACCTAAATAAACTGCAAAATATTGATAAGGCGTAAAATATAAATCAATCTATTCCTCAATAAAAGAAGGTTAACCAAAGAATCCCATAAAAACTGAATAATGACGACTCTAATTTATATTAATAAAATATCTAGCAAAATATAGAAAGAACAGTTTTTGCATCAATCTTATATAATATTATAGGCAATTCAGGTTAATGTTGTCCTGTCATGAAAGAAGTTTTATGAAAAATAATATAATGAATGAATAATGATGCCCTTAATTTACATTGTGCTAAATAATTAGAACTGATTTTTGAAACAAACATTTCTGTTGAAAATCGCCGTATAATCAAATAATTCTAAGAGTAATATCATGTTTATAATTATACTATGAATTCATATGATTTAAAAATGTTGCTATGTAAATGCTGTAAACTTTTACATCGACCTCATACACTGCCATGAAAAAGAAATAAAGTAGAAAAAATTTTGCACTCATGAAAACATGGACACGAAAATTAAAAGCGTAAAACATGAGGGTCGTGAAATGAGTTACTTCCCTTTGCCACCCGAGGTCTTATTTAGTGATGGTATCGATATGTCTCATCATTTTACATTTCAAATGGTTAAATATAACCGTAAGTTCTACGAGAACAGTTTCTTCTCTAGCATCCCTCGCTTGTGTAACTCTCTTCCGTCTTGTGGCTTTCCAATTCCTATGACTTTTCACACTCAGTAGGCCCTTAGTAGATATACTTTCGGAGAAATGATAGAATAAAAATTCATTGTTATGAATTTTAAGTCAACCAACGAAGCTAGTAAATGATTGGTGCTAACTAAATCTCTGATATGCGGAGTGGGCTAATTTCAAACCCAACAGACATTAACGGCTTTAATAATAATTAAAAAATACATTTTTTTTACCAGGTCTGTCATAGAGCATCAGGCTACGCTGACTGCACCACTGCAGAGGGGTATCCACCCCCACCAATACTGCGTCCTATGTACGACAATAAACTACATCTGGTAGTAAGGACTCTGACTGGGAGGTTTTGAGGAGCTTGGGGTGATAATACCTGTTAGGGTCAAAGCCATGCAAAAATAGATACCCCCCAAAAACTGGGTCAGAATGATTATAAAAGTATAAAAATTGATTTTTTTAGTAAAAATGCTAGCAATACATCTTTGAAAAAAAAATATTAGCAGCAATATATTTTTGAAAAAAATTATTACCGGCAATACATGTGACTCTCGAAAAAAACTGTCTTTACTAAAAATGAAACCTGATTTACATAACTGATTTCTTACAAAGAAGGCATATTAAATTCATACGGACCTATCCTAAAATCCTTGTTGACTTAAATGACCCATTGTGGCTGATTTGCCGTAAAACAATATAAACCTATGCCTTGAACTTCAACAGGAAGATGCAAACCTGCTAAAAAGACATTAACCACAGTTTTTTCTTTAAATCAAACCTGAAGACACCTACCTATTTCTCCACACATGCACACCATCTCTCTCTCTCTCTCTCACACACACACACAACCCCACAAACACACATACAAACACACAGACACACACATATATATATGTGTGTGTGTGTGTGTGTGTGTGTGTGTGTGTGTGTGTGTAATTATAATTAATGAGATTCAAACAATTTACCTCATACAGATGCTCATTTCGTCCATGGGAAATTATTTTTTCTCTGGACTTATCAATGTAAACATATTTACTAATATGAATAAAATCCCACATTTCTTCAAAGGAAATCTGAGAGGCAAATGAAGGAAAGAAGAAAAAAAAGAAAAAAGGAGTGAATAAAAGGAGAGGGAGGAAGAATTGGCTTATAATAGAGGAGGGAGTTATATAGAGGGTTGAAGGACCTAATGTGGGTGTGGTGGGGTCCGGTACAGATAAACGCGACGGTTGAAAATCGACACTGACATAAATGTAACCTGTCAACACCTGTGCAAGGAAGAAGAATGAATAAAAAAGGAAAAAAAAAAAAATTAGAGAGGAGCTTAAAATTATTATAGAATGGGAGTAAGAAATAGTATTTTTATAAATTTTAAAAATACACACACACATACACACACACACACACACACACACACACACACACACACACACACACACACATATATATATATTGTGTAGCGATGTATAATGTTTTTATTTTAATCTATTATAATAAATATATTTGAATATTATATATATATATATATATATATATATATATATATATATATATATATATATATAAAAAAACAGCTAATAAGGTACTGCATTAACTTTCTTTGGTGGCTGCCGGTCCTGTACGAAAAGGATGAAATCAAAATACCGGAATTGGCTGATGTCCTAATTTTCTATATTTAAATGCACTCCATGTCAAGCTTTTATCTTTTTTTATATGTGTATTGAGCACTTTTTTAGTACTACTTTTCTTGTCAGTGACATCTTTATTATTTTACATATATATATATATATATATATATATATATATATATATATATATATATATATATATATATGCACATTTCATTGAATACGACAGACAAGGTGCTTTTATTTGTTTTTCACCCAAATTCTCATGCGATCTAATAATTTTTCTTTTCAGATGATAAATTATATAAAAACTGTCCGAATGTTCTTTTTTATCCGAGCGCTTTCGGCTATACATTTAGCCATTTTCAAAGATTAAATATTTTAACTGTTAAATAAGAAATAGATTGCAGTTTGTATGTTTTATAAAATGTTTTCATTTTTCAAAACACAAGCAAGATATTGTGTCCATGTTCAAAGTTAATATTATTAAGTGTTTTTTTTTTGTTTTTATTAATAAGGTTTCCATTATTTTTAGCCTTTTTTGCATGTAGATGATGCTATTATATTAGTGTTGTCAACAAATATGTTACGAATAGTGTCCGGTAGGTCTCCATGAATATTTAAATGAGATCTAATTGAGCTATGGTCAGAAAGGTATAGAGTGAGTCTGCGTGTCAAACATGCTGTAGTGTGGCCTATATAATATTAACTTTGATCATGGACACAATATATTGACCGTGTTATGAAAAATGACAACATTTTATAAAGTATACATACAACAAACTATTTTTTTATTCAACAGTTAAAATATTTAATCCTTGAAAATGGCTAAATGTGTAGCGCTCGGATAAAAAGAACACTCGGACAGTTTTTATATAATTTGTCATCTGAAAAGAAAAACCTCATGATCGCATGAGGAACTGTATAAAAAACTAAATAAAATCACCTTGTCTGTCGTATTCAATGAAATGTGCATGAAAGAAGGATTGCTGCCTAAATACACACACACACACACACACATATATATATATATATATATAGATAGATAGATAGATAGATAGATAGATAGATAGATAGATTGTATGGTTAAAAGGAATTTTTTACTGGACATATTGAAGGAAATATAGGTACAGGGAAACAGCAAAAAGTTCTACATTGCTCACATATTCACATAAACTGTGCTTTTTATTCTGTGATACTCTACCTCGAATAGCTCTTGGGCCATGCAGAGCGAAAACCATTTAAAGCAAACCTTTATGTAAACAGATGACATAACAACGACATGGAGGGATTCTAGGGATCAAACTTCGTTTGGAAATACAAACAACAGAAAAGTATGGATAACCATCGTCGCCCACGTCTTGAAAGAACACGACATCCAAAAAACGAAGTGTGGTAATCAAATGCAAACTGTTTCAGAGAATATTTGAACTGGCTTTGTCAAGTTTCCTTTTCGTGATGATTACCATTTCGCCAGTCCGTATCATCTCAACATCGGAATAATAATAATAATAATAATAACAACAACAACAACAATTGTTAACAGTGCCAATGCCATTAAAGTTTTTGTTGCATTGCGTTGCCGTTATAAATACGAATGACTTTCAAATCAGATGTAATATAAATTGAAACATTAACAATAGAATGACACTGGAGACAGCAATTTCGATATAAAAAATGAATGGACTTTATATTCACTGTTATAATATGAACAATATGGAGAAGAAGAAGAAGAAGAAGAAGAAGAAGAAGAAGAAGAAGAAGAAGAAGAAGAAGCAACAAAATCAACATGTAAAAAATATTGAAAGTAATAACAGCGAGAGACGACATAACAACAATGGTGACAAAAGCTGCGACCACCTCGTTTCTACATTGAAAGCGCTATGGATATACAAAACTCAATCAGTGTTTCTGTATTTTTCGTCAGACAATGCGCTCATCAATAATAAAATTCATTCATAACTTATTTTGCAACTGTTTTTCTTCCTTCATTCCTTCATTATTTTTTTCAATAATGAATTGAGCAAGTACACAAATATAGAAAAGGTTACAAGACAAGCGTGTGTCTTCCCACTCAGATTGATTCCACCTTTACAGCGTGGCGTTCTTACGAGGACTGGAAGTCCTATCGGGTTTTATTATCGACTAGCTTAAAAGCCGCCTTAAAAACTGCATTTAAGCTAGCTCCTGGGTAGGGCTCTTGATTGGGCCTTCATCACAACCGGTAGAGAGGAGTAGATGCGATAGGAAACAAAGAACTACAGAAGAACTCAAAACTGATTGCTGCATTCAAGTATTGCATTAATATTTTAAAGCTTACCTTTTAAAAGTTCAACAATAATTCTTCTGCCGCCACTTAATTCAAAGACAAGTTGATGTGCGTAGGTCCTTATTTTCCGTACAAAAATTATTTTTATTTTATGGGTGACTTTCGCTGGATTTCGCAATTAATTTGGATAATTCCCAAATTAATTTCTAAGTTATCGTACAAAAAAATGTCTTAAAATCACATAAAAAATCGCCTAAAACAATTGCGGTTCAGGCCCAGAACGTTTTTAATTTCCTCGCAGAGTCGTTCTGATCCCAAAATGGTTTGATATTTTGGGCTAACTTTTCTAGTAGTAATGTTGAAAACACAGACAACTTTATTTTGATATATTGTAAAATGAGAACAGTATTTTTTTTTTCATTTGAACATGAGCTAAACAAATTAGAGAGTTGTGTCCCTTTAAATGTTTTTATCAGTTGATGCCAATATGGCGAAATCCGAAAACAATCGCAGTAATGAAACCTTGGGAATTAGTTGTTTTATCTAATCAGTAAATTTACCAAAGTTCATATTTTATTTTTAAAAATATTAACTTTGTTAAATTTAATGGATTACTTAAGAGAACTAATTTTGAAATCTGAAAAAGTTAATCACAATTGGATAGACAAAATATTTCGATACTATTCAACCAAACATGTTTAAAAGACTTCCTCTTGCCGAAATACACCTTATTTAATACAATATAATACATATATATATATATATATATATATATATATATATATATATTTGTAAGCAAATATATGGATATAGATCCGACAGTATGAAGAAAAATATACGGAAAAAACAAACAAAAATCCTTATAGGCAATTATGCAGTTTTAATGTTAATATATTGTCAACGTCGGACGTTTCGGTCTAATAAACCATCTTCAGGACATATTCATAAAATATAATTAACATCGTCTTTGTCATGTTGAATTGATAATGTTAATTATATTTTATGAATATGTCCTGAAGATGGTTTATTAGACTGAAACGTCTGATGTTGACATTATATTAACATTAAAACAGCATAATTGCATATAAGGATTTTTGTTTGTTTTTCTGTATATTTTTCTTTTCATATATATATATATATATATATATATATATATATATATATATATATATATATATATATATATATATTGTTGTGATTCCGGGATGAAATCCGGTACCAATAAATAACAAACGCCAAGAATGAATATAGGAAAATAAAATATTAATGCAATAATACAAACTGGTAATGCAGGTTAGTAGTTCCAGGAATGTGGGTTAGTAGCAAAATATATATACAGTCTTTGGTATCGACGTATCACTGTATGACTTCTTACTGAGTCTACGTGCTTGCTCACTGTGACACTTGCTCGTTCGTCGTTCTTCTCGTTCTTCACTCAGGTATTCACTAGCCGTAGTATATGTATACCCTGGGTGAGTCCATTTTGTGTAAAAAAGGAAGAACCCCTCAACACACACACACACACACACACACACACACACACATATATATATATATATATATATATATATATATATATATATATATGTGTGTGTGTGTGAAAAGTGTATATATAAATATAAATAAATATATATATGTATAATTATATATTATATGCATGGTACTTATTAGAAAGCGCTCGATATCAGAGATAGAGCTAACATATTTGGTTGGATAGATGTGAGTTTGTGACCCTGGGTTTCACGCTTTAGCGATCGTCAGAGTTTGTCTGAGGATCGCTAAAAGAGACCCAGGGTCACAAACTCACATCTATCCCAATTAAATATATATATATATATATATATATATATATATATATGTGTGTGTGTGTGTGTGTGTGTGTGTGTGTGTGCGTGTGAAAAGTGTATAAAAATATAAATAAATATAGGTATGTATAATTATTTATATATTATATGCGGCGCTCAATATCAGAGATAGAGCTAACATATTTGGTTGGATAGATGTGAGTTTGTGACCCTGGGTTTCACGCTTTGTCTGACGATCGCTAAAGCGTGAAAGCCAGGGTCACAAACTCACATCTGTTCAAATAAATATATATATATATATATATATATATATATATATATATATATATATATATATATATATATGCGTACACACACATACTGGGAGTTTTTCTAGGGTGGTTTCCTGACGGTCTATCGACTTTCCCTCCCCCAAATAAAAAGTGGATAATTTGGCAAAAGGATGAACTTAGCAGGAAGTCTCCCCCAACTTAATTTGTCTTGAGAGATGTAAGTTCCGTCTCTACCCGACTAAAGCCAGAATTCCCAGAATCACTCCTGCTTCAATGTCTGTCCATTGTAACTAAGAGAAATACTTCGCCTGTCTTTATGCATGTTGGTAAATCTAATCACTTTTCTGAATCTTCACCTCATTTTTCTTTTTCTTTCACCCTACTGTGTGCCTTTAACTTACTTCATAATAATTTTCTTTTCTTTTCTCTCTCTTTCTTTCTTTTAAACTTTCTGTTAATAGTCGGCAAATTAGTTGTAGGCACGGTGGAATACTGGATAACGGCTTGAATTGAGGAATTGGAGAGACGAGTTCGAGTTCCAGTCGAATCCAATATATTCACTCGCTAATACCCTTAGGAAATGTATGGATTCTCCTCTTCTCAGAGTGGGTTCCATATCCTTGGATGGCTTCTAGGAGAAGGACAGCTCACTTCAAAACCTGCGGAGGGTCGTTTTGGAGTTATCGACAGTGGAAGTTCGGATTCATTCCCGTCGGCAGCCATTACTCTCGTTTTTTGCATACATTCACTGCGGAAAGCTAAACGCGGAAGTCTACGGAAAGCTAAGCGCGGAACTAATCTTTCTTGTCTAAATTACTACGCACGAGATCTATTTACGTGACACGCTCACTTTGCGCAATGATACCTACATTGATAGCTAATCTGCAGTGAATGTATGCCAACAACGCAAATGAATCCGAACTTTCACTGTCGATAACTCCAAAACGGTAGATTTTATCAAATTTATCAAGCCAGATTCGAATGGAACACGTACAATTACACATAAATGTAAGTATTTTGAAAAATTTTAATACGAATTGAGTGCGGGTGTTACACTGCAAATTAACGAGGATTTGTATCAGTGAATCATTATTCTATCCAAGAATAACTGAATTCAAAAAAATGTCTGTAAATAGCATGCAAATGGTTGATAAACAGTAAAAAACAAATCACTGAATTTAATATCTTCCTAAAATAAACCATAGTTTTGTTTTTGCCGTTCAAATAGATTTTTGTACCGTTCAAATAGATTTTTTATGTTCAAATAGATTTTTGTAACGTTCAAATAGATTTTTGTAGCGTTCAAATAAATTTTTCTACCATTCAAATAGATTTTTGCTGTTCAAATAGATTTTTGTACCGTTCAAATAGATTTTTGTACCGTTCAAATAAATTGTTGCTGTTCAAATAGATTTTTGTACCGTTCAAATCGATTTTTGTTGTTCAAATAGATTTTTGTACCGTTCAAATAGATTTTTGTAACGTTCAAATAGATTTTTGCTGTTCAAATAGATTTTTGTACCGTTCAAATAGATTTTTGCTGTTCAAATAGATTTTTGTACCGTTCAAATAGATTTTTGCTGTTCAAATAGATTTTTGTACCGTTTAAACAGATTTTTGCTGTTCAAATAGATTTTTGTACCGTTCAAATAGATTTTTGCTGTTCAAATAGATTTTTGTACCGTTCAAATAGATTTTTGCTGTTCAAATAGATTTTTGTACCGTTCAAACAGATTTTTTGCTGTTCAAATAGATTTTTTGTACCGTTCAAATAGATTTTTGCTGTTCAAATAGATTTTTGTACCGTTCAAATAGATTTTTGCTGTTCAAATAGATTTTTGTACCGTTCAAATAGATTTTTGCTGTTCAAATAGATTTTTGTACCGTTCAAATAGATTTTTGCATCGTTCCTTATCCAATGCTTTTGGGTGATCTATGAAGCATGTCCTTCTGTATCATTACTCCCTTTAGCAAGTGGACTGAAAAAGAATTCTGTAGTGTTATGTAAATGACTGTTTACTCAGTATACCGAAGGCATACACTTTATAAATGCATAGGTCAGCTCTCGGTATGGGCTCCTTCCTCTGGAAGGGGCTTTCCCCTGTATTCTTCCGGGAGGATTGGCAGAGGGGGGGAAGATTTATTTCCCATCGGAGTAGATGCGGTTGTAGTATCTGTTCCGTGCCGGAGACCTTCGCTCCTCTCTTGCGTTCCCCCGCCTCCATCACTTTTTGACATCTGTTACGTAGCGGTGGTATGACCGGCTATGACTAGCTTTGACCAGCTTAGACAAGCTAAAACCAGCTTAGACCAGCTACCCGAGTGTTTCCACTCAGGTCCGCACGTTACAAAACCAACCTTGTGTCACAACCTGACTCAGTCGGGGTGAAGGTTTAGAGTAAATCTTGCGCTCTCGGTATGAGAGTATAGTGTGTTGACCGGCTTACTCCTCTGCCAAAAATACTCGCCCAAGCCCTAGCGTAC